CTGGGATTAAAGATGTGCGTCACCACGCCCGGCATCCACACATCTTTAATCCCCCAGCACTGGAGAGGTAGAGGCAGGCTGATGTCAGTGAGACCAAGGCCAGCTTGGTCTGGTCTACATAGAGAGTCCAGATCAGCTGGGGCTACAGGGAGACTTTGTTTCAAAAAGACCAAAAATAAAAGTCTGCCACCAAACCCAGCAGCTTTAAAATATCTTGATTTTAATATTTTTATTTCTTATTTTATATGTATGAGTGTGTTGCCTGCATGTGTGTAAGTACACCCATGTTGTGCAATGCTCAAGGAGGCCAGAAGAGGGTGTTGGATTCCCCAGGAACTGAAGTTAGGGATGGTTGTTAGCTACCATGTGGGTGCTGGAAAGCAAACCCAGGTCCTCTATAAGAGCAGTCAGTGCTCTTAACCACTGAGCCATCTCTACATTCCCAAGATCTCTTTATTTACAAGCCGGTTGTGGGGCTAGAGCGATGGCTCAGCAGTTAAGAACACTGACTGCTCTTGCAGAGGACCCGGGTTCGAGTCCCAGCACTCACATGGCTGCTATGAACCGTCCTTAACTCCAGTTCCAGGGGAATCTGACGCCCTCTTCTGACCTCTGTGCATTGCATGACACAGGTGCACTCACATGCAGGGAATACACTCATACACATAAAATAAATATAGTAAATAAAAATATTTCTTTAAAAAGCTGGTTCCAAGCATCCAGACTACTCTAGGTAAATGCAGAAAACAAAGAGAACTGATTCTTGACTTCTAAATTCAAGAAGATATTATACAGCTTAAGATAAAGGTTCTTAAAATGTGTAGTTTCCAAGAATGGTCCATTCCATCAGATGAGATGAATGTTCCACGACATGAGAGGGGGCACTTTACTTTCTTAGAACCTGTTGTTGAAGGGGCCATGAAGACGCTGTGAAGAGTACAAAAGAGCAATGTTGAATTCCTTTCTCATTGCTCTATGATGACAGCTATTCAACAAGGATCCAAGACTCACTATCCTTGATGGCTTAAGAGAAGGAACACATACACATACATCACTACCTCATTCCCAAGGTCTTCTTTCCAAATGATCCATCCTACTGTTTGGCCAATGACATAAAAGGATTAAGTGAAAGCATTTAATATTGAAGGGATAGATGGGGTGGTCACAAAGCCTTAACCTTAGCAAATGGAACAGCTTGAGTATTTCAGCCTAGAAGAAATAACTGTAGTAGTAGTAACATCTATTAAATCAATTGTCTCCTGTCTTTTACCCCCATGAACTGCTTTCTAAACTCTCTAGTTTTACTTAACTTTAATACACAGTGTGGTTCTCTGGAATCACCTTCCATATTTTCTCTCTTTTTTTACATTTTCTTTGTGTATGTGTGTGAGTGTAGGCACAGGTGTGTCATAATACAAATGTGGAGATCAGAAGACAACTTTTAGGAGTCAGTTTTCTCTTTTTATCATATCTATTTCTGGGATCAAATTCAGGATGTCAGACTTGCCCAACAAAAGCTTTTACCCACCAAGTCATCAATAATCTCTCTTTAGTGGGCATTAGTATTATATTCTGTTTAACACAGTTCAGTTTTTCTAGAAATGACATCATATAATTTCACCAGGCCCCTTCCCCAAGTCCTAAACTTTACCTAGAGAGGGAAGTCTCCATGGTCTCCCATTATTCTTTTCCCAGCTCTGGACATTACATATTGGTATCAAAGTGGATATCAGGATGGAATAGACTCTATATCTGTAAGACTTAAGTTATAAAACGGTATCCTAAATTATTTGTTCTTATATAACAAGATATCCAAAAACAAGCAGCCCAGGACTCATATATGTGCTCAGAGACGCCATCAGAACCCTGCCTCTGTCTAGCTAGATGCTCTGCAAGATATTTTGTGGAACTTTCAAAATCTCAGTCATACAATCACTGTGATTACATTGTCTTCATATTACTATATAAAAAATTAGAAGGCAAAGGCAAAAGATGTAAGTGGTAGGTACTGTGAGTCTGTCTCATAAAATTTTCTTGGAGTATTTGAGTGATACACACACACACACACAAAAATTAAAATTACAAGTTAGCCACAATAAATTGCACTTTATATTTAGAGTATAGTTTTCTTTTTTCTTTTTCTTTTTCTTTTTTTTTGAAACAGGGCCTGGCTTACTCTAGCCCAGGCTGACCGAGAATTCTTATATAGCCCAGATTGGCCTCAAGCTTGCAGTAATCTTCCTGCCTTGGCCTCACTAATATTGGAATTAGGAATGATCCACCATGCCTAGCCTACACAGTTTTAAGGCAACTGTTTACTGAGTTCTTAAGAAGATAAAACATCTTTAACTAGATAAAAAATTCAAAATGTAAATCCTAGGGCACAATAGTAAAATCTCAAAAAATCCACTTCCTTGCTAATTTCATTCCTCCCATTACCCACTAGAATTCCTAATCTGGTCAGAAGCATGCCAAGGCCAGCACATATGTTTACCAAGACCTTGTTACTAATTAGCTTGGCTTTCTGTAGCTATCTGAGAGGAAGAGATCAGAGTTGCTTTAATAAGACATTTCTTATGTGTCTCTTTCACGACCTGAGAATTGGTGAATATAGTACAATTAATGATTTTTAGGAAGTGTGTGTGTGTGTGTGTGTGTGTGTGTGTGTGTGTTTCTTTCTAGAAGGCAGAAGAGCTACCAGGGGGATGAAGTGGTTGCCTCAAACTCTAAAAAGGAAGACTATATGATATATATGTATATATGCATATATATAATATACTAACATGAGGATTTAAAATCAGTCATGTATAACAGAGGAAGGATAAAATTCATAAAGACTCTTGAGAAACACATGGAGTTTGAAAACTAACAATTATAAGGCTAGTCAGAATTTCCTGACTGGCGGGGTCATATAGAACATAAAGTCATAATGCAGTGCAGAACAGCGAGTTAAATGCAGATAAGTACCCCTACTGCATAGCTTATGTTTATTGCAAACTTTTTACTCGTCCCCATTAGCTTTCTGATGCATGAAATTGCTTACAAGTGGAATGGTTTATATCAACAATGACAAATAGGACTTAAAAACAAGCATTCTGGCTTGGGGTAATTTGAGACCCCAGGAACATGATTTTGTCTCACATTAATCAGACTATTTAAGGAACTCCATTAAGCACTGCACATTAATTAGATTGAAGGTGGGGACTGTGCTTGGGAGGCATAGGATGGGAGGAAAGAGCCATTTGAACAGAGATTGTAAAAAGGGAAAGCCTGGAAGCTAATACACTGTTTGCCTCAGGCCTAGCTTTTTTGGCTGCCCAAGTCTCCAAAATGTCCTGTTCGGCTTATCTGTTAATAACTTTGTATTAGCAGAATCAGAGCAACAATGGAGGAGTTTCTTACAGAGAAATGGGTTAGAGGGATGACTTTTCATTAATGAGGCTCATTTATCTGGCCTCGCCAGACCCCATCTCAGACATTCATGAGGCAAACAACTGCTCCTAGAGTGATAATTTTTATCTTTTCTTAATTTCTCTTCCAACTTGGTATCCAGGCAGATTACACTATATTAAGAGTAAAAGATTTTTCTTCCCTGAGTTAGTTTCTTTACTTTTCTGTGAAGCATTTCACCTTCCACTGTCTTAGCTTCTAGGCCTGGGCAAGCATGTTGATCCAGCTAGTTTGTATCCGATTGTGGATAAGATTCTTTGGAATGAATAGTTGATTCAACACCCTGCCACTGGGCTTCTATCAGTGTTCTGGCTACCAGAGAAAGCTTGTGGACAAATGACCAATAACTTAGATTATTTTTTGCTAGTACAGATTAAAATCACCCAGGATAGTTAAAGGGCAAATGAGCCCTTCTGACAACTATAAAATATGTAGACAGTTACACTTTTATGTCTAAACACCTTAGAGCTTGGTATGGTTACAGTAACAAACTCCTATCAAATCTAGCTTCTGCCCTCATGGTTTCAGAGCACAGGTCTGTGCAGAGACCAGAGATCAGTGGCAGTGGACTGGAGGGTGGATGTTTCCCTAGCCTAGCTTATGGAAAGTTGTGAAGTATTGCATGTAAGAAATATGTGACAGGGGACTGAAGAGATGGCTCAGCGGTTAAGAGCACTGGCTATTCTGGTAGAAGACCCAGGTTCGAATCCCAGTATCTCAAACCTAGCAACCATGGTGATTAATAACCGTTTGTAACTCCAGTTCCAGGAGACCCAATGCCCTCTTCTGACCTCTGTGGGCATTGCATGACAGGGGTGCACTTACATAAAAGCAAGAATAACACTCATAATATAAAAAAAAATTAAAAGAAAATTTAAAAAATGTGGCAGCACCCTCCCATAGGAGGAGAAACAATTTTAAACATGTCTTAATATCTCTCTCTCTCTCTCTCTCTCTCTCTCTCTCTCTCTCTCTCTCTCTCTCTCTCCCTTCTCTCTTTCTCTCTCTCTCCTCTCTCTCTCTCAATCATCAAGTGGGCACTGTTAAGGATAGAATTGATGTGGGCTTGATCTGACAGTCTTCTTTACCTAGGATTTTCTCCGGAGCCCACTACTTAATACTCTGACTACCCCTAGAGCTCCTTGGGCCAGCAGTTTTCCAGCCCCTGTCCCACTGCTAGAAGCTCTAGAAGCTCTAGAGGTCGAGCACTGGGGCGAAGGGACATCCCCCAGACCCACAGCGAGGGCTCTAGCCTATAAGCCCTGTTTGAAATATTAAGTCAGGGGTATCTCTGTGTCATATTTTTGCCTGTTTGTCCTTCCCGCCCTACTTTTGTTCACAGGGGGTGAGTGAACAGGAGAGTGGAGGGTGTACGTGACCAGACGGCCTTGCTTATCTGTCCTTTTACCAGCACAGTCCTCTTTGCTCCTCCAGCAGGAGGGCACACTTCCAGTATGACCCGCCTCTGTGGGCGTGGTGGATGCTTATCTTCCAGTCCCAGCGCCTGCAGGTGGAGAAAGGACTGGACTACAGTTCCCAGCATCCTCGGCTCTCGCCCGCCGGCGGCCCACACCGGCAGTGGCTCTACCCGGCTCCAGCTTCCTCATTCTGAGTTGCCATCTCAGGAGCCCTGGGCCCTGGTGTGTCCCCCGCAGGCGCTGTCCAGTCCAGGCAGGAGATGGCCTTGCGGCTGGGCCGACTGGGCTCTGGCCCCTGCTGGCGCGCGGCGCGGGGTGGTGGTTGCAGACAGCTGTGCGCCTGGTCGGCGCGGGGCACATCCGCCCGTGTCTGCCGCCCGCCTGGCACGGCTGGCACTCTGCTCTGCCGCGGGCTGGGCCATAGCCCCTCGGCTGGAGGAGGTGCTTGGCTGGGCACCGGGCTGGCCGCGGCGCTGGCGGGGCTGACGGGGCTGGCGGCCGCCGCCTTTGGGCACGTGCAGCGGGCGGAGATGGTGCCCAAGAGCTCCGTGGCGCGGAGCCCCTCACCTGGGCGGCGGGAGGATGAAGATGACCTAGCCCGCCGCTGCAGCACCTTCATGACCTCGCCGGTAACTGACCTGCATGAGCTGAGGAGGCGGCCCGAGGACATGAAGACAAAGATGGAGCTGCTGATCATGGAGACCCAGGCCCAGGTGTGTCGGGCTCTGGCACAGGTAGACGGGGTAGCCGACTTCTCCGTGGACCGATGGGAGAGGAAGGAAGGTGAGGAATCCCTCTCCCGTCCCCTACCAGGCGATGGAGAAGCATCAAAAGGGCTGGGCACTGGATTGCAGGTAGAAAATTGATCAGAATTAGGATAGGTTAAAGTAGGGAGTATCCATAGAGGGGTTGCTCAGTTAGAAGGGGTGCCTTTAAAAAGACTGACACTGACAACCATTAGCTCTGCTTGCAGATGTGGACCCAGATGTGCCCACAGCCTAGGACTGGCCTTTTCAAAATAAGTGCAATCTGTGATTGCCTTTTCTTTGGACTAATTAAGGAATATTTGCAGCCAGCAAACTTGAGCTTGCAAATTTGAAGTTTGTTATTCAATAGACTTTCACCTCATTTCATCTGCCCCTTTTAGGGCTTCTGCTCTTGTCCTTCTGTGGAGCTAGAACAGAACTCAGGCTCTTCCATGCTGAGTGTCTTCTAGACTACGTCTTTGTGTCAAGAATCTCCCCATCTCCTTTTCAGGTTGCATAAGAAATGTTTAATTGATGTTCAGTAGCCATATAGAATGCATTCCATCACATTTCTTGGATGAATGGAAAACATTTCCTTCAAATGTGAAAATAGCTAAATATCAAAATTCATTTCTTGTACAGTCACATATTGGTGACCAGTTGTTTCCTACACAGTGATCCCCACTTCCCATCTTGATCACAAACTTGAAGGATTGCTGACTTTTTCCCAGCTGAAACTACAGCAGCATCTTTTCACCAACAGATTTTGAGTTGCGATATTGCCATATCTGTATTAAATGATGTTTAGTCTGGTTTTCATGGTGTATTCCATCTTGTAATGTTGTCAAGTAAAGGCCGCTGACCAGGGCACAATTTGGATTTCAGGTACCAGACTAGTTAGCTTTGTGATCTTTGGGAGTTAGTTTTTGTCATTTATGAAACAAGATGAAAAAATTCTCTCTCTCTCTCTCTCTCTCTCTCTCTCTCTCTCTCAATTTAACTAAGATGAAAATATGTAAAGTGCTTAGAATGTCAGAAACATGGCCAGCAATTGGAAATAGTACTCAGTTTTGCCAGCTGTGTGATTTTGGATATGATATTTTGCTTCTCTTGACTTTAGCTTTCTCATTTGGAATGTACAGGGGTTTACTGGATTATCTTATGATACATATACGCTATTATAAGCTCTTAGAAATAAAACAAGTCAAACATTAAATATCATGGAGCAATGGGTTTTGGGTGACTATCGTATCTTAAAGAATAATAAAAAAAAAATCCTGTAAAACTCATACGCTTAAATAGTAATATATGTCTTACTCAATTTAAAGTTCTGAATCCCATGAGTTTGAATATTTACATTAAAATTTTGCCTATAAACAAAATGAAAAGGGAAGCAGCAAATTGAGGGGAAAATTGAAGCCATATGTAGTTCTTAAATTCAGTAAAAATAGAACACTATTCAAATACACCCAATGTTGCCTGTAACATCGACTTTCTCTTTTGTGAGTAACAGATTAATTTTAGTAGTATTTGAAGAAACTACTTCAATGATTTATTAGAAGATGGCCTAAGAACATGGAGGAAATAGTTATTTTAGTGATGTGTATATGGGTTCAGAATTTGCCTAGTACCAGCAGCTTATGACACAAAACTAAACTAATTATCCAATTTTATTACACATAAAATTAGATACCTCTGTAGATGATTTTGGAACTAGAGGAGGAAGATGTCTCCTTATGGCACCATCTTCATGCAAGAGTTGTTTTCCATTTTCAATGGTCTCCATTCTCTGGTTTTCTATTTCTGTAAACAGGAGGTGGAGGCATCACCTGTGTGCTTCAAGACGGCCGTGTTTTTGAGAAGGCTGGAGTGAGTGTTTCTGTCGTTCATGGGAATCTTTCTGAGGATGCAGCAAAACAAATGAGAAGTAGAGGAAAAGTTCTGAAGATGAAAGATGGTAAATCAGAAAATAGTCACCACCAACCCTTTTTTCCTACCAGCATTATTTATAAAATAAATGTTGCTTCAGGAAAAGTCCCTGGATGCACATATCCAGTAAACATGTGCATATGCTTTAATTGTAAAAATTGTATCTTGAGAGACAAAGTACAAAGCAGTTTATGATAACAAATTCAGAAATTGTACTGTTATTTATGTCAAGCCAGTTGCTAAATGCGTTTCAGTGTGCATTTTATTTTCTAGGTAAATTGCCATTTACTGCTATGGGTGTGAGCTCCGTGATTCACCCCAAGAATCCTCATGCACCCACTATGCATTTCAACTACAGATACTTTGAAGTAGAAGAAGTCGATGGTAAGCATCTCAAGAATTGTGCAAAATATTATTGTGCGAGGTCCATATTAAAAGAAGTAAAAAGAATATCCTGTTTAAGAGTGAGAAAGAGGGGGCTGGAGAGATGGTTCAGCGGTTAAGAACACTGGTTGTTCTTGTAGAAGAGCCGGGTTTGAATCCCAGCACCCACATGGCAGCTAACAACTGTCCATAACTCCAGTCACAGGGGATCCAGACAGCCTCTTCTAACCTCTGCGGGCATTCCATAACTTGGGTGTACTTAACCTACATGCAGGCAATACATGCATACACATAAAATAAAAATAATAAACTAAAAAAACAAGTGAGAACGAGTAATTACATTTTCAGGAAGAATTTGAAGGCTTAGTCCTTAGCAGGATGCACTGGACATGAAAGAGCAGAATGATATTGACTGATTCTCACTTCCCGTATTTCCCTCAGTACAGAAAGAATGATTTAGTGAACTCCAAATCCAAATTGCACACAAGGCTTTTTGCAAATATATATTTGTTATGTCTGAAGGAAAGCGACATGTATGAGGTTAAGTTGAAATTGAGAGCTTGACTTTGGGGGTGTGGGAAATACACACATACATACACACACACACACACACACACACACACACACACCATAAGCATCAGAACCTCAGTTTGGATCCCCAGCACCCACATAAAAATCTGAGCAGGGGTTTGTAATTCTAGCACCAGGGAGTCAGGGACAGGAGGACTGCTGAAGCCAGCCAGTACACCAAACTCTAGGTTCAGTGAGAGACCCTGTCTCAAAAAGAATAAAGTGGAGAAGTGCTTGCACCATCACATGTGTACACCTACCCATACATATACCCACACACACATGAACACATGAACATAAATTTGGTAACTGGTGTTGAGCAGAGTGAGCATATGGAACAGTTAGTCTCAAATGCAGATTGTTCCCTTAGTAGGTATTTTTACCCTTTATGGGGTCAGTAGATGGGTGTCAGTAGCTTAGGAGTGACTCTTAATAATGGGACCATAGAAATCTGGAGAATTTTTATTAACTGTACATGTCTGAATCAGAAATTTGCTCTTTCAAATAGTGTTTTGAGATACTAATATTTAAGCTATATGGTCTTAATGTATAGCCAGTGTTAACAGTCACGGCTGGGGCCACTGTATGGACTGTTATTCACTGCCCTCTACTTTGTTTTCCTACCCACTTGTCTATTAATTTCCTACTTTCTGTTTTTCCTGCCCTCAGCTTTGCTGGCTCTCAGAGCTAATTTCAGTTAAGTGTTCTTTTAAATTAAAAACTATCTCATAAATTAAACCACTGAATGAAGCTTGCTAATAGAACCAGTCATTGTGCTGAGTCTCAAGGCGACATTGAATCAGATGTCTTACTTTGGTAGGTAACAAGCACTGGTGGTTTGGTGGTGGATGTGATCTCAGTCCAACGTACTTGAACCAAGAGGACGCTGTTCATTTTCACCGTACTCTAAAGGAGGCTTGTGACCAGCATGGGCCAGATATCTACCCCAAATTTAAAAAATGGTAAGTAGAGGTACTGAACTTCATGTATACTCAGAATAACTATTATGTCTCTAAGTACTCTTTCAGCTTGTGAAGACTGAACTGCTTTCTTATTTTTCCCACAAGTAGAAGACCAGTGTTAAGTCTTCAAAAAATATGTACTTAGAAATATTTCAGTATCTATAAAATGTGGCAGAATCTTTATTTTATTTTAAATCCTGGGTAATTTAGAGTGTATTATATCAACTGAAAGTAATCAATGCATAGGAATCAGAACCTCTTTATTCCTAGGGTGAGATGTTGAATTCTTATTATTCCAAATGACTTTAAACTATTGAGACTATATTTAAGGTGAACTTTTTCTTGAATAGATTTTTCTATTTGGAACCTTAACTGTATAGAGATCATCACAACAACTCTTTCCAAGTTGCAAACTATTCTGTGTGTTTAGCATTTAGCAAATGGTTTCTTAGGAGACTTATTTTGGTAGACAGAGGACAGATGACTCAAGAACAAAGTGATAACTTTTTGTGCTGATTCAGAGGGTAAGCTTGAACATGTGCGAAGGCATTGTCTACACATTTTCTTCTGCGCGCCCTTCTCTCAGCTGTGCATGCTATAGAATCACTCTCCCATTGCCGAAAGGGACCTAGGGTCTTTTACAGTGTCCCTCTTTTGGTGATAAAAAGCTGGCATAGAGTTGAGGCTTGTGTCCTGGCTGGTGTCACCATTAGAAGACTCCTATCCTCTGCTTCCTGCAGCAGTGCCTCTAAGGGCACTTGGTTCGAGAAGTACCTTAGCCATGTTGGCCTCTGTTGCTCTTTTCACTCAGGCTCTTAGAGTTCCATATCCTTTACATGGTGGTGTGTTAAATTGCCTGGTTGCTCTGCAGATAAAGGTATAAGCATTTTCTACATGGGTGAATGCTGCAGAAAATCTGTCTACTGGCCTGTTTCCATTGTACAGAACATAAAGACATGCCATAATCAGGGAGCATGCTCTGCGCTGAAGGGCCCGTGTAGATTTAGGTTTCCGTGTCTCTCTAGCCCTCCCCTTTGGTCCACGATCTTACTCTGCTGTTTGTTCCAGGTGTGATGACTACTTCCATATAGTGCATCGTGGAGAGCGCAGGGGCATCGGGGGTATCTTTTTCGATGATCTCAACTCTCCATCCAAGGAGGAGGCGTTCCACTTAGTGCAGACATGTGCAAAGGCTGTGGTTCCTTCCTATATTCCCATTGTGAGAAAGCACTGTGATGACTCGTTCACCCCCCAGGAGAAGATGTGGCAGCAGCTCAGGAGGGGACGGTGAGTGAAAGGAGTATAAATCGCTTTTTTTGCATGACTGGGAAAAGTGGAGCAGCTCTAATAAAAGTGGCTGTTGTGTTGTTTAGGCCAAGTACTTGGTAATAGTCATTTTAATCTACGCTCTAGTTTCTTTTCATAGGTAGGTGAATTTTTTAAATTAATTTAATAACACTATAAATAGTTAAAATAACAAGGTTAATTCACCTATATGTCTACTCATAGTAGGCATATATACAGTAAGTACTTATTGAATTTAATTCTTTCAGTTTCCCAGTGACAGCTTCCATCCTTATGCCCAAGATGTAGGCATCATTTTAGGGTTTTTGCTGTTTTGTACATTTGGAATCACACTTGGGAAAAAAATTTCATCTTAAAGATTTTATGACAGTTATTTTAATACAAATAAGTTGTACTTATAACTTTTACTTTGGAACATTACTGTGCATAGCCCCTCTATCAGGCTGTGGTATACATGCAGCCATCATTTTACCAATGATAAGAGGTTCTTACAGAGTTAATTCCTTTGTCCAAGATGACACAGCAGGTCCTGTAAGAGCCCAGCTATGGAAATGATCAAAGACTGCTAGTCTTTCTAGTTTACAAAGGGGTTAAGCTGTGTGCTTTCTACCCATACTCACCTGAGCCCCCACCTCTGTGCTATCCTTGGTGAGTTCAGGTGGATGGCCAAACAGGTTGTGTTCAGCCAGTGTTCTTATGAATCAGCTTCACATATCCATCCTGCAGCCCCCCACCAGTTTCTCTTGGCCATCCTAATTATACATGCACCTTGATTTCATGGCTGTAAAATGAATTTTCTAATTTATGTTAATTCTCTCAGGTATCTGAAACTTCAGGTACTACTACGGAGGTAAAGCTTTGCCTTGAAGAGGTCAACATAAATAATACTCCAAGTTTAAAGATAAATGTTTGTGTTTACCTTTTTTACCCCCCCCCCATTTTTTAAGTAATTGTATGTGATATCTAGTCCCCATATACCAACCTGACGAAGTGCGAATGATTGAGTTCTCTTAGAAAATTTTTAGGCATGCATGCTTGGCATTTCCTACCTCTCCCCTCCCACCATCCCCATAATTAATTTTTTTTGTATTTTTTATTTAAAAAAATTATTATTTTTATTTTTTGTGTATGAGTGTATTGCCTGCATGTATGTCAGTGTACTTGTGTCATTCAATGCCCATGGAGGACAGAGGAGAATGTCGAAATCCCCTGGAACAGAGTTTACAGATGGTTGTTAGGTGCCATGTGGGTCCTGGGAACTGAATCTGGGTCCTCTGCAAGAGCAGTCAGTGCTTTTAACCACTGAGCCATCTCTCCAGCCCCCATTCCCATAATTTCTTAAACATACCTTTCCCATTCCTTCCTTCTTTTCTCTTTAGAGTTGTCTTGAGTCCCTTGAGGTTAGGCACTATCCTGACTTCATAGTGGGCATAGCCTAGACCTGGGGAAAACATTCCTAATTAAAACTGTGTTATACTTTTGCACAGAGTTCATATGCAAAGCAGGAAATTTTTATGAATCCCAATTAAGTGAAGCCTTTATCACTTCTTAGGGCAACAATAATTTTTTTTTATTATCATTTGATGACAGGTCATTCTGTACGTTCTGTTGTGTGTATATCATTGCATGTCTTGTGTATTTTGAGTTGGGCAGATGTGTGGAGTGTTAGATTAGTTCTCTATGGCTTGGTATGTGGCTAATCATCCAAGAGAGGCTCTTTCTGTCACCCTTATCTCTGGCTGGAAGAAGGCAGGAGACTCTGGGGCTCAAGATAACCCCACCCTCATAGTAAATACTCAGTTTTCAGCATTGGCCTCCAGTTTTTATACTTGTTCATAACTCATTATCAGTATCCTTCACAGATATTTCTATCCTTCTCCACTCCCCCTCCACGAGTTTCCCTTTTAGAGGTTACTGAGGTCCCTTTTGGCTTTGTGGTCTCTTATTTGTGCGTCATCTAGTCTGTTGTGTTGGTTGCTACATACTCTTCCCAGACCTTGTACTTTGTCTCATAGTCATTATTTCTTCACAGGAAAATAGAAACCAAAGACTTTGAACTAATTTTTGGTTTCATATATTTGGGAAGGGCAGCATAAGCATTTGTGAGATTGAAGAGGTTTCTTACAGCCTGTGATTTGTAGGTACGTTAGAGCTGCTAGATGCTTAGAAGTTTTAGAAAGGTTAGATCTAAGTGGAAGCCATGGGAGTTGAGGCTGTTGTAGAGAAAGCAGCATTGTATCTCCGAACAGGAGAGGAACACAGGCATGCTCCAGAGAGCATTCTGAGACTGTCTGTGCAAGAGTTTTTGAGAAACGTCTTCAAATCCCAGCTGTCTCTTGGACAACATGTTTCAGAAAGGCAGGGTCAAGTGAAAAGGATGGCTGAGAGGTGAAATCCTTTGCCAGGTTTTAGGGATAAGTTAAAAAGATTTGCTTAAACTATCTTTTGAGACAGGCTGGAGGTATAAAATGGTCATCAAAGTTTGAAGGCCTCTCAGTGATAAATAAGGGTGAGACAGAAAGGAATCCATGGACACAGTTGCTTAAATTGTGATAGGTTCTTTGACAGGTTTCCACATGAGCCTTTTCAAAACTGAAGTACTGTAGGGTATAGAGAATGTTTTGCTCTAGGTGGTCTTAAAGACAGTAACCCCTGTACAAAAGAGGAATGTCTGAGGGAAGTTAGGACTAGTTACTGAATGAGTTATGAAGTGACCTGAAAGGGAGACTATAGAAACCTTCATTTTCATGAATCATTGGAATTCTTTAGGGGGCTAGAAATTATAGTTTTGAAATGGAAGAGGCTCTTCTGTGTTCTATGTTCAAGCTAGATGAAGTTCACATCTGTTGCCCTGACAGTGGAAAACTTGGACAAGTTAATACATTGAACCAGCTTCGGTTGCCAAAAATATTTTCATAAAAAGGTAAATAAATATGTATCTGATTATTACTAGTCATAGTCGGTTGCACTTGGATCCTTGGCACCTGTGTATGACTATAAAGTCATCGGGTAGATTTCAATGGTAATGTTTATCACCTCTACTAATTAACATGATGTAAATTTTTATGCCTCCTCCTCAAATATAACTCATTTTTTAAAATAAATAAAACTAAGTCCTGCACTAAAAAAACAAAAAACACCTTTCATGTAAATCTAGAGGAGGAATGAATTATACCATCGCACATTAATGCTGTGAGCTGCTTTAGGAAGGAGAAAGATATAAGGAATAGTAACGTCATTAACAGACTGCTCTTAGTGGTGCCTGTCCTTTTGTTACAGACACTGCGCTCCTAGTCACAGTATTGTGAGTTACAGTGAAATCAAACCCTCCACTCTGAAATGTCTCAGGCTCTGGTGAGAAGCAGAGGATCTGTGTTACCCTGAGAAAATGCCATTTCTTTTTCTTAATTGTTGTGCATTTTTAGACCCAGCTTTGTGTTCATCCTGTTTATTCATGAGGAAAACATAACCTCCTTGCTTTGTAATTGCTCTGTATTGGGGCAGAATCTGTATTCCATTGTTCTATGGGCAGAATACCCTTTTATTTCTGCTTTCCAGATGGAGAAAGCTCACCGAACTCTAAGCAGGCTCTATGTGCTAGCTTTAGAGGACAGGGCCTGGGAGAGAACTCCCTTTTAAATGTTTATTATGGATTTCTGAAAGATTTCATTCAGCAAGCCTTTTCTGTGTTTTGATATCTGACAGGTACGTAGAATTTAATTTGCTGTACGATCGGGGCACAAAGTTTGGCCTCTTCACTCCAGGATCCAGGATTGAAAGCATCTTGATGTCTTTACCTCTAACAGCCCGGTAAGGAGACAATTCATCGTAGTAGTTTATCCACTCACAACCAAGCCCTAATGCTCTTTAAAATATGTGTGGTAACCCTGATAGTACCTTACCTAAGACTTCATTGTTGTTTTTGTTTTGTTTTGTTTTCTGAGTCCGGGGTCTCCCTGTATCCCCAGCTGAATTGGAACTCATTACATAGACCAGGCTGACCTTGATCTCACAGAGATCCACCTGCCTCTTTGCTTTCCAAGTACTAGGATTAAAGGCATGTACCCCTACATTTAGTGACTTCATTGGTTTTTATTTTGCTGATTTTATAAGAAAATTGTGGGCAAATAAGGCACATCCAGTCGGACTTTGTGAGGGGTGACAGGATGAAAGCCCAGCTTTGGGTGTGAGAACACAAGGAGTGAGAAGTGGTCCCTGAGGAGGGCAGGATTGATGGTGCTCATGTGCTTTCTCTTTGGAAAGAGCTATGCATAAGAATTAAGCTAACATCTGCTCATAGTTCATCTGAGGGTCTGTAAGTTTTGAATCCCTTATAATAATAATATTTTTGCTTTGGGATCTTCATATTAATCCAAATATGCTTAAAATTATTAAGTTTTATTTCTTAAGTAACAAATCTTTTTATTAGTGGGTACAAGGTACATTAGGCACAGGGAGGCAGAGGTCAAGGCATTTTTTTATTATGATTTTATTTTTCATTTATTTTAATAGTTATATAAGGTATTATTTTTATAACTGTTTCCTGTTTTGCTTTTGTTTTGGACATGCATAGATGGGAATACATGCATTCACCCCCAGAGAATTCCAAAGAAGCTGAAATTCTGAAAGTTCTACGGAATCCAAGGGACTGGGTGCATTGATGGTGGCGGGGTGTTGCGCTGGGCCCCGTAGGTACAGGCATGTGTCCTCCTCCCCTGGTAGGCACTGTTGCCACTGTGTCAGTCAGTCCTCTGTTGCCTTAGTGCTCTAGCGTTCTCTACCAGGGCACCACCTCTGTGGCAGGTGGTAGAGTGTTTTAGGTCTTGTTACTGCTAGGGTGAGATGGCAGTGATGCATGGCAATATAAAATGTCAGAATTAATTGATGTAAAACCCATTTGTACTTTTAGAATCATTTCCTATGACAAGTTTACAAAATTTGATGCTGAGTTTCCAGATGTTAAGGGAATGTAAGTACTATAATATGTACCTGGAAACTCTTCATCTTATTTGTGTTTCTTAAAGTTTTAGTTTTTGCCACAGAAGTATACCAGGGGACACATTTTATCTTCATTAGTTCAGTCAGGTTGACTTTCTTACTAACTTTAGAATGCAACTCAAATGGACAAGTTTTCCTTTGTGATTCCTGAAGTCTCTTTGATATTATTTTCATACGTCTTTCTCTATAGACCAGAATATTATAAAATATTCATTTTTTATAATGATTGATATTTAGGAGCTCTTGAAATTTTTTTTAGTCAATTCTTATGTTATAATTCAGTGACATGGTTTATTACTGTGACATTATTTTTATTTACAAAAGGGACATCTAAGTGAGAATTTTGATTTTTGTGGAATCATAACTTGTTAATGTTGGGATTCTATACACTTTTGAAAATGAAAGCTTATAGCCCTGGATTCTGATACTTACAGTTTTGTATTTCACACGTTCATTTTTCTATGGAAGTTTAGACTGAACATAATTATAAGATGTGGATTTAGGGAATGTTTTTCATTTGGAAAATGAAATGAGAAATGATTCCTTCTTTCATTAAAGAAAATGGAGCTAGTCTGACATTTTATAGGCATTTTATACTTTCTTCGTTTGAAAATAGACTGATGGAAATTGTCCTACTTTTCAAATTAGAGATTGTTCAATTCTTGTTTCTCTTAAAAGTCACAACAGAATTCTTAATGTATTGTTTCTTTGTCTATATAATAGTTTGAATGCATTGTTTTATTTGAATTTAATTTGTAAGGAGCAGTGTCTCATACATATTTAAACATTATCTTGGAATTTTTGGGATGTATGTGATTGTGTTTGGCTCTTTTAGGATTGAAAATGTGAAAATTCCTCAATGTATGTAACAACAGATCCAACTAATAAATTTTATTATGAAATAAGACAAGTAACTATTTGCAATTCTTATTGATAATTTGAAAACAAATATTTCTCAGTATTAAAACCATAGTTTCTTATTCTTAGGTGTCTTATACAAGAGAAATATAAATTTTGTATTCAGTTTTCATAACAGTTTTATTAAGAACAGACAAAATTAGAAACAAATGGAGAATTAGCAGCTGAATTGATGGATAAACAGTTTGTGACTTATGCAAACATTAAGACACAGTCGACAATGACCAGGTGTAACTGTTGATAAATGCAACAGTGTGCAAGACCTCAAAAGCACAATGCCAACAGCAACAAAAAAGCCATACACAAAAGTACTTGCTATATAGTGATAACATTGTAGGAAAACCTGGAAAAGTGGCAGCTCTATAACAGAAAGCAGATCAGTGGTTGTGGAAGGCAGGAGGTTGGGAATTGATGCTTGTGTCTCAACTGAGGTGATGGGTACTAGACCATGTAGATTTTGCAAAATCATTAAATTTGGCATTAAATGTCACGGAATTTTCTCTTTTTTATTATTATTTATCATTTTTATTTTATGTGTATGGGTGTATTGCCTGCATGTATATAAGTGTAGCCATGTTGTGCAATGCCCGTAGAGGTCAGAAGAGGGCGTTGGATTCCCTGGAACTGGAGTTACAGATGGTTGTTAGCTGCCATGTAGGTCCTCTGCAAGAGCAGCCAGTGCTCTTAACTGCCGAGACATCTCTCCCGTCCCAGAATTTTCTTATATATGTAAGTAATGCTTCAATAAAGATGATTTGGGGAGGACGAAAACCCCATAATATAGGAACATATGCTCAAATAAGCCTTTTAAAAATGGAAAAGTTGAGCTGAGCACATGGTTTTGTGGTAGAGAATGTCTAGCATGCAGGAGGCCCTGGGTTGTATTCCCATCACTGAGTAAACAGTTAAACAGATCTCTGACCTATATAGTGTATTTAAGGCATTTAGTGGATGGACACGAGACTAAGATGAAATTTTAAGATTATGCTATACATCTGTTTTAAGGTCAATAACTCTCCTATGGCTGCAGCTGTGTCTAGAAGAATAACAGTTGTAAACTTGGGAAGTATATCATTCTGTTCTTCAAAGTGAATTTCTCTTTCAAATTCTTATTGCTGTCTATTCTGAGTCTACTCCATGTGGGTGAACCCCCACATAATACAAACACATAACTCCTGTTGTATTAGTGTTCAAAAGAGTGTCGGGAGAGAGATGTAAATACATTGGAACAGAAGTCTAACTTCCTATCCATCACTATGCTGTGCTTATTTAAACTCGGCTGATTTTTGTTTATATGATAAAATACCAACAACTGGGTATTTCATAAAGGAAAGAAGTTTAATTTGCAATTTTGGATACTAGAAATTGAGGATCATGCGCCCCATTACTTTGGCCTCTGGCTAGGGCTTTTTTGGCTGGGTTACAACATAGCAGAGCAGAGGGAAAGAAGTGGCCATCTACACAAGTGTGTGTGTGGCTCTGGTTAATAACAACCCACTCTTATGAGAACTAACTCCTGAGAGATCAGTATTCATCTCTTCCCAGGGCAGTGTGGCCAGTGACCTAACTACTTCATGATGGGCCACATTTCTTCAAGTGTCCATCTCTACCTTCTGAGTGCTGGGATTAGAGGTTGTGTGCCTGGCTTCCAAGTACATGTCCTAAAAGTCCTGTTAGAAATTGTTTTCAAGAATCTTTTCTTGCCACAAATATTAGGTGTGTATTTGAAAGCACACATTCTGACATTCGGTTCCTCCCAAAGACACACATGTTAAATTCTAATTTCATAATAAACTTTAGCACACTTAATTTAGTAAGGCTTAGGTGTTTACAAATGACTTGACTAAATCACCTTGTGTTTCCTGAAATCCAGTCTTCTAATGGTGACACCAGCCAGGACACAGCCTCAACTCTTATGTCAGCTTTTTATCACCAAAAGAGGGATGCTGTAAACAACCCTGGGTCCCTTTCGGCAATGGGAGGGTGATTCTGTAGCATGCACAGCTGAGAGAAGGGCCCGCAGAAGAAAATGTGTAGACAATGCCTTCGCACATGTTCAAGCTTACCCTCTGAATCAGCACAAAAAGTTATCACTTTGTTCTTGAGTCGTCTGTCCTCTGTCTACCAAAATAAGTCTCCTAAGAAAGCCAGTCACAATAGAAAACCTCATGGACCACTTTCTACAGGTGCTGTTAAACTGACGTGTACCAACAGAGCAAGGTAATTAAACTGCTGTCTGTCTTCCCAGCAGTGTTCCTGGTTCTAGTCTAGGAGTTAAAGGGCCTTTTGCCTGTTAGTCTCTTTCACACTTCAAAACATATTTGAACATAAAATTTTTCATGATCTATCCCATCATGATTTCAACAAGTTATTACAAAGCTGGACTCTGAGGAGAGCAAATGGCCCTCAAGGATGACAGTTGCTGTACCTGTCACGGGTAATTTGCATATGAAAAAGTTCATAAATAAGTGCGACAGGTTATTTAGTAGTAAGTGAATAGCACATTTGTAAATTGGTCTTCATGGCAATTTCTCTATGCTCAGATCTGACCAAGGTTACTTCATTTTTCAACTGTGTTAGGTGGAAGGCCCTTTGGAGACTGCTCCATGCTGGTGTGTGCTGCCCTCCAAACCATGAGTATAATGTGAATACCATACACTCACAGGTTCTTGGAGTTTGTGAACTTTTCCAAATAATGAGTTCAATAGATATCCTTTAAAACATTTTAATTAATGTACACAACAATACAAATGAACTTACCAACTTCTGCTCAAAGTAGTTCTTTTTTTTTAAAGTGCCCTTGAAATTGTATGGTGCTCAACATAAAGGTGGTACTTACAAATAATATATTTCTAAAAAGCAGAGAATAAGGGCCTACTTTTTAATCTTTTCTGTCTGACTTTCAACCCCCTCCCCATTTTAGTAATGAGAGATTTGATACCTCCCTTGTTAACAGCCAAAGATAATCTTCTTAGCTGACACGCAGCATGTAGAGCAGACACAAGTTATACCTGATGTGCTGTCAGAATCGCTTACTCACTGAATCTTTGTGCAAGATCAAGTTGTTGCTGTTGTTTGTCACTAAAGATAAGGTTTGCTAAACAGCTGTAGATAGTTGGAACACATTAGATGACATTAACCAAAATGAGTGGAGCATTTAATGAGCTTGGAATACCTGAAAGCCACCTATGCTAATATTTGCAGATGGGAGTCCACAGCTCATCAGAGAAGTCACCTCTAGAAGCATAAACATACCTATTATTTATGTAAAGGTGATAATTGTAGAAGTAAAAGAAGATGCATAATGACCCAATGCATTGCATTGAGAAAGGAAGACGCAGACTGAACTGGGGCAGAGAATTAAGCAGGGGAGGAGGTGCCAGGGAAGGAGGCCAAGAAGCAGCTCCTGTAAATGGGAGAGGGAAGAAGGAAATTGAAAGGGACATGGGGTGTGACTGCAGTAGCCGCTGCTAGTGAATGTGAGAAGATAATAATGTGGTATATGCTGTCTGTCAATATGTTCGATAAGTTTGCAATTAAATTTATATTTTAAAAACAGTTCTAGTCTACTAAATAACAAGATTTTTCTCAGGTACTAAAAGTTAGGTAACAACATGCTTTGCATTAACATGTCAGTGTCTCTCGTTTCTCACTGTGCTTAACCCTGACATTCTTGAAAGAACGAATAGGTGGAGCAGGTTTGCTCAGAAATATAATCCTTGGGTTTTGTGAGGGAGATAGAGGGGAGTAGAAAGTGAAGAAAACTGAGGAAGGAGGTAGAGCAGAAGAAAGAGGAAGAGGGGACAGAAGGGTGAAGGATCTACAGAAGAGAAACCTGTGCTTCCTTAAACTGTGCTGTTTTGGGGAGCTTGTCCCAAGGAACTGCTGTATATGCAGCTAAGCATGATCAGTTTGACTCTGCTGCTTGTATCTTGTCAGGTGGCCCACATGTGTCATGTCACATTATTTCCAGGAACCTGTGAGCTTCCATGGTCTATAGTTTTGATAATGTGGCCTGTGCCTTTAGATAGTACATGTTCTTTCTAGATAATGAGAAGTTAGCTGGACTGGAACTTGCTATGTAGATCAGGCTGGCCTCCATCTCACAGAGTTCTGTCTGCCTCTGCCTCCTTAGTGCTAAGATTAAACATGCATGCTACCATGTCTGGAAAAGTATATGTCTTAGCATCAGACAATAGGAGTATTAAATAATCTTACTAAAATGAAATATTTCAGATGGAACTTTAAAATTCAGATGTAATATGCAAAAGAAATACACTTAAGATGAAATGCTTTAGAAAAAAAAATGGTAGCTATACCAGGCCAGTACAATTTTTTGAAGGTGTTAAGATACAATAGTCACATTTAAAAGCATAACATAAGAAAATGAAGAATATTTAAATGTGAATAAAGCAGCATTTACAAAGGGAAAAATAAGCTAAAGTAGATATAGAGGAAACTAGGCTGAAACACCCTGTGACAGAGCAGATAGGAGACAGCCTGTAATGATGCTGAGACTTAAATTACATACTGAAGTATTATTGACTTGCATACATTTCAAACCCTGCATTCTGAACATACAGGCAAACTTTCCAATTCTTGTGGGACATTAATGAGTTTCACATTACAAATTACAGAAAATCTACAATAAAAATTTTAAAATAGAAATTATACTGACTATTCTAAAATTTAGCACATAAGTGGCCATTTCAACATGTTGGTGGCTATTTTTTAACATTCTATTTATATTTTATAAATATTAATTTATACCAAGTAATTAATTTAAAATATTTTAAGGTAAAAAGAAAAACATTTTTTGCTCCAATAACAGCATTCACCTTGCTGGGTTTTCTTGTTGGCATCTTGACATGTGTTTGTTTGAAAATCAGTGTTTGGGGGCTGAAGAAATAGTTCAATAGCTAAAGGTAATTGTTGAGGACCTGAGTTCCATTCTTAGCACCCAAGTTGGGTGGCTTACAGCAACTGCCTATA